GTTTTTTATGGATATTTATTAGGGTGGCTGGTAGACAGCTGATTTAATTTCCCATCTCTCTGGGTTTTGGCTCTGTGGTGGGAAGGATGGAGTCATGAGGCTGAAACAGGGAGCAGGACACAGGGTTTTGTCTCCTCCACCACGAGGAGCTGCCCAGGACCAGACCAGGGGCTGTCTTTTCCCCATAGCCCTGTGAAATAAAAGTGGTTATCCAGGCAAGCCTCGAGCATCACCAGCTGGATCACAGCTGAGCTGAGACACCCTGAAAAAACTGGAGTGCAGGGATGCCCTCAAGCAGAAAGGATCCATCCCATGGTGAAGTTTAGCTTTTGCTTTCCCTGGGCTTGGAATCACTGCAATTTCCTGGGCAGGGGAGCTGCAGAAGTGCTGGTGCTGCTGAGCTTTCCCCACTCCAGAGCGAGTAATTCACGGATAACAGGAGGGTAAAGGGCTCACCCATCCTCAGGGATACCAGGTGATGCTTTCTGCCTGGCCAGGGCCTGCCAGCTGCCTTCAGGAAGGGTGAAGGTCATTTTCTCCCCTCCCCAGAAAGGGAAATTAACCATGTGCTCACTGTGTGGAAATGCTGTCAGAGAGTATTGTCAATTCCTGCCGTCCTAATGGAGCAGGAGTGCAAAACCTTGAGCACAGTATTGCACATTTTGGTACATTTTTAATGGCTATTTAATGTAAGAACTCCTGTGCTCCTCCATCTTCCTCATTTCTTTGCTGCATAAAAACCCCTCCCAGTGTCTTTATAAACTTTAGGTGAGTGGGCTTGTGAATATTCCTGTAAATATATTTTATTGCCTTTCTCTGTTTTCACATGGATGTGAGTCTGGAGGACAGACTTTTTTCCCAGCCTTTTCTGCCTAGAACTGTGGCTTTTGGTTAAAATTGAGTTTTAACATCTTTCAACTGCCTTGGGAGCCAACCTGGCAAGGTCTCAGAAAGAAAGGGCCACACAAGGATATTGAGGTGGGCAATTAAACTGATTATTAAACCCAGGTCTCTCAGCCAACAGGAACCAGAAACCTGCACTGGAAATGAGATGCAGGACTTCAAACTCATCATTAATTAAGCAGGAGAATAAGGAAAATGTGGTATTATATCATTTACTCAGAGCAACATGGGTGCTACCTGCTGTACTGATGATTATTAAATGAATTCTACAGTAACAGCTGGATAAAAAGAGATATTTAAACATTACCTTCATCCCCCTCACAGAGTGGATGTCTACCTCTGGACATGAATTTTACCATCAAATGTTCCTTCCAGACTCTCTCAAATGATCAACAGCTCTGTGTGTGAGAGGAAGACAGTAAAGACTAATAATTCAGTATTAAAGTGGTTTCATGTGTTTGTTTCCTACCCAGGAGCCACTGGTTTGATTCCCAAAATTGGGTCTCACAAGAAAACCTTTACAATTTTCACAATCCCTTTCCAAAATCACCTGTCCAGTGACTCTGTGAGGCTGCAGGAATGATGGCAAATTTTTCCCTGGTTAAATATTTCTGTACAAGGCAAATACCATTAAAAAAACCCCAAACTGAGCTTTGTTTCCTTCCCAAGAAAGAACCTTAAAGCAGAATGGTCATCCTTTTAATCCAGGGCTTGCACAAACATCACCTTGGATGATATGAGAAGCCAGGAAAGAAAAAAAAAAGAAAGAAAGAAAGAAAAAAAGTGATTTCTCATTACTTTTGTCACCTCTGCCCAGTGGGACTGCATGAAATTCAAGACCAGACAGTGCCAGGCTTCCCAGATCCACATCTTCAAGAGGTTTCACTGCAATTCCTGCTTTTTGTTCCAATGCCTCTGGTGAAAATGAGGCTGACCCCAGAACTCATTGCTAGGGATCTCCAGAAACAATCTTCCTCCAGCTCAGCGTTTTCCTTCTTAAAAGTGTTGGTCTTCAAAAATACAGTTTCGTTTTCCTGACAGTAGCAGATGAATCCTGATGACTTCCACGAATTAAATTGATCCTGGAGTGTAATTATAAGAGCAGGGAAATGGTTTAATGGTCAGAAAAGGATGAAAATTCAGATGCTGACCAACATTATAAGGGAAAAAATAAAAAATAAATAAATAAAATAAAAAAGATGAGGTGGAGGATGACAGATCATCCAAAGGAAATTTAGGAGAAAGGTTTTATGAGGGGGAAGACTTTGTGAAGGGAATTAGAATAAAATCAGAGCAGGAAAATATTTAGTAGGGAAGTAGCACTTGCTGAGAGGATTGAAGAGGATTGATCTTCTCTCAGTAGGGTAACGAGACCCTGGGCATTTTTCTCAATTAGGATTGCTCAGAAGAAGTTCAAATATATCACCTTCAGTCTCTAAGCAGCCTGGACATGCTTTTATTGCCCTGTTTTCCTCCCATTTTGACTTCACCATTCCAATATTTTATTTTTCCCAGAAAAACAGGAAAAAAAAAAAAATTAAGAAGAATCTTTGCCATAAACATTTATCAGCACCTGAATCCCCCACGTGTAAAGACTTTTCCTTCCCTCAAGCACCTCCAGGCTGATGGATCAAACTGCAGCAGCTATCAGCTACACCACCCTAAATGCTTCCAGAGAAATAAATAAATTAAATAATAAATTTCACATTTATACACACAGTCATTTATACAGCAAGGGCACGAAGAGGGGGAGAATCTGATGCACACACAGAGACACACACGAGTGTCTGCTTCTGGGAATAGCAGTGAGAACAGGAGTTAAAATAGTAATACAGACTGTCACAACATTATCTCAAAATCAAACTGACATTATCATGCCAAAGGCAATGCTTTATGCAGCACTTCCTCAGGAATTCATGGGGTTTGGGGTTTTTTTTTTCGGTCCAGAACTTTATTTTCCCTCCCTTGAAAAGAAGTATTTGTGAGCTGTGCCTTTCAAAATTGATGAACTCAGACCTCAAATAACAAATTGTTTTGCATGACAACACAAACTCTGTTCAACCAGTTACATTAAAGGTAAAAATCTCTAGATGAGTCCAGGCTTCTGATGAAAACATGTTTTTTCCTTCTGTAAAATAACTGCATCTTTTATCTCCCCCCATAAATACAGTTTAAACAGGTGGGGAAAAAAAAAAATTACCTGGCAAATCATTTGTAGGAAATTTGTAGGGGAAATGTTAATAAAGAATCCTTGGGATCTGATCTGTAATTCCTAAGTTTGGTTAAGTTTCTGCCTTGAAAAACCCATTTCTGGGCATTTTTCTCTATTTTGTCTCCTGTCATTTTGGGTAGGGAAGAAGCAATTGAGTGATGTGACATCTTCACACCTGGAACACAAAGAGAACCTTGTTCACAAAACAAAATAAGTCTCAGTTTGGTAGATCTGCTAAAGAGGAGGGTGAATGGAGTGAGGATTAAATCCAGATTGTGGAGGGATGGCAAAGACCTTGGCTTTTCTCAGCAACAACCAAGCAACACCAAATATTAGATTAATTATTAGATTTTAGCAGGTTATATTTTATTAATTTATAGTTTATTAGATTTTATTAATTATCAGTATTAATTACTTATTAATTTAGTAGCTAAAGTTAATTTAAAGATCATATCATTAAAGAATAACTGTTATTAATAATTATTATTTAGAATTATTTTATAATACTAGTTTATAATTATATTTATTTTATTTTATTTATTTTAATAATAATTATTATAATGATTATAATAATAGCTACTATAATGAATATTAAATTATTATTACTTCCCACCCCCAGACAGCACAACTGAGCTCACACAGACCAAGGTGGGAATGCCCCACCAAGGAATTTTCTGCTTGGCTCCTGGCCTGGCTCTGCAAATCTCAAAAAACAAACAAACAAACAAACAAAAACAAACAAAAAACGACACCAAAAACCCTCAAAAGACCCCAAAACAAAACAAGAAAAAAACCCAAAACCAGAAAAACACAAAAAAACCCCCAAAGAACCAAAAAACCACAAAACAAAAACAAAAAACAAGAAAAAGCCCTCAAAGCCCAAAAACAAACAAATAATTTAAAAATACCCCAAAAATAAACAAAAAAAAAGGAGAGAAAAGAACACTCAGACAGACTTTACGGCGTGTAACATTTCCTATTTGCACAAGAACATTTTACCATTAGAAACCCATCAGTTTCCTGAGAGTGGGGAGCTCTGTGGGATGCTCAGCTCCATCCACCTGCATTTTCTGCTGCAGGCACAGCCAAGGCTCTGGCACTCCAGGTGAAGTCATGGAACATTTTCACTCTCAAACTGAAACCATATACAAGCTTTTGCTGAAAGCATTGTCAGATCAGCACTGGAAGATTTTAAATCAGGTTGTGCCTATGAATGGGGGCATGAATGGCTCTTTTGTGGCCCTGTCACTTCCCAGGCACAAAGCCCTTTTAGCAAGCAAAATATTTTGGCCATTCTTATTTTTGCTGTCTGATTTATAACGCCGTCCCAAAGCCCTTTGTGACTTTTAAACGCTGTGACCGTGGGTTTTTTTCAGAGAGGCGTGCTTAAATACAATATTCCCAGATCCCCACGTTCTTGTGTGAAAATACTGACAGGGATGCTTTTAATTGAATGTAGGATGGAATTCTGGCAGAATCAGAGACACTGCAGAAATATCAAGTATTCCACCAAAGAGCTTTGCAACCCACAGAGCACAGAAGATTTCAGCAGCTGACTTCAGTGGGATTCCTTCTGCAGAAAGAAACGGATCTTTCTGTCTTTAACAAGAAACTCTTGAAACTGCAAAGCAGAAACCTGAGGTCCACATTTAGCTCTTCATTTTGACCACTGAAAGAAGGTAAATGCATGTCAACTTGGTCTGTTTTGGTGAAGCCTTAAATCTAAATCTAAATCTAACTCAAAATCTAAATGAATGCATCAGTTTGGGGCAAGACAAGCTCAGGCACTAACATGCTTTCACAATCACTGCCTTTACTCATAGTGTCTAACAAATAAAGACAAATTTGATTTATTTTTCAAGTACATTTTATTTTTTTTGTATTTTTTTTAGAAATCACCTTAAGGAAAAAAGTCAAAGTATCAAAAAATCACAATTTTAAACGCCATGGGTTTCTACAGAATGTTAAAATAGAGTTAATATCAACTTCAGTAGCACTTTACTCCCAAAAGCAGGAATACCTGATAATGCATAGCGCCCTCAAGTAAAAGGACATCTCTTTGTATGCTTTGGCTCAGAACAGACCATTCCAAGATCACATCTGCACCTCAAATAAAGTTGATTTATCCATGTCTGGGCTGAGCTGGGAAAGGCTGAGAACAGTGGGATCACTTCATGGGAAATGGTGAGTCCTGAGCACCATAAGAGGCTGGGAAGATGCAAGAGCACATCCACAGAGCTCTCCCTTCCCACATGCAGGTGATAAAAGGTCTACACAGAGGCTAAACTCAACTTTTAGCCCCGCACAGATGAGGTGCAGCAGGGCCGAGGGTCTGCGAGGGCGGGGGAAGCGCGGCCCAGGAGGGTTTAGAGCCTCACAGCAAAGATTTTGGCTCTGCTCTGTAAAAAAAAACTATTTTAGTTTATGGCTTCTCCCTGGAGGAAGCACCAATGCCCCCTTTCCCAGCCCACAGGTGGCTACATGTCCTCCAAGAGGTCCTCTGGCTGACAGGAGTTTTCCAGGGTTTCCAGATCCCACTCCGGGCAGCGCTGCCCCGACGTCGCCTGCGAGGCCGGGCCAGCCCTGCAAACAAAAAGCAGAGGGAGGTGAGACAAATTTGGAAGCAGATTATAAATGATTCCAACTCATTCTGGGTCTGTTGTTTTTCAGGCTATGTCTAAGAGGAAAGTTAATTATTAGATTTTAGTAGGTTAGATTTTATTAATCTATAGTTTATTATATTTTATTAATTATTAATATTAATTACTTATTAACTTAGTAATTTCAATTAAATTTAAAATATTATTAAATAATAATAACAATTCATAATTATTATTAATAGTTTCAATAATGTTATTTTATAGTGACATTTAAACTTATTTTTATTTATATATTATTAATGTATATAAATATATATTTATATAATATATCATATATTTAATATATTTAATATATACTACATAATATAATTATGTTAATATAATTTATTAATTAAATTAATATACTTTAGCTAATTAATTAAATAGTATTGATACATTATTATATAATATAATTAATATATTATAATATATAATTATATATCATATATTATATGTATTATATATAACATCTATTTTATATATATTATATAATATAGATTTATATATTATAGATACATTATATAAATATATAATATATAATTATAATAATATAATTATAATAATATAATATTATTAATAAATTATTAATATTACATAATATATAATCGAACATATCTAAAATATATATAATTAATATAAATATTATTTAATATATTTAAATATAATTATGAAAATTTTATTAGAAACTATTAATAATAATTATTATATATTATATGTTATATATTAATTCTATACATTACATATTATTATATATAATATATACACATAAATTATTAATTGCTCGCTGGGGCGGCAAAGCAAGCAGTGGACATTCAGTTTATAAATGCCACTGCTCCAGCTGCTCTGCTGGAAGTTTTTTGAACAGCCTGAGAGTGACCATTTCCCCCACAATTTCCACATGGAGAGCTGGGAAGAGCAGCAGAGATGCAGAAATCATGCCAAGAGACCATGTTTCCTATTTCTGCTCTCTCTCCAAGACATGATTCCAGTTCTGCCCTTGTGCCTTGGGAAGGTGATTTTTTCCCTGTGTTTCCAAAAAAAAAAAAAGTGGCATTTGCAACAGCTTCTGATCCCTGTAGGAGTTACTCTTATACAGGCTGAATCCACAAAAACAAACAAATAAACAAAAACCACAAAAAACCCAAACCAAAACAAACAAAAAAATCCCACCCCACCACCCATAAAAAACAACTGAATCCTTTTTTTTTTTTTTTTTTTTTTTTTAAATCTAGTTTAGAGGAGATTTATCAGTCACAGGAGTGTGTGTTTCCAGCATCAGTCACTGCCTTGAAAATAAGATGTGATCTCCTCTCCTTGGCTCAGGACCTGGCTGCAGGGACAAAAATATGAAGGAATTCCCCCTCAGAGATACCCTGGAGTGACTACCATGTAAGGTAAATTACAGGGGTATTTTTCTTTTTAATTCAATGTAGAATGGACAAAACAAAAACCAAAATGTTTCACATTTTGGGTGTGGGAAGCAGGGATCAGACCTCGTGTGCTGTACTGCAGGATTTGGGTCTGGCTGGAGCTCCACAGAGGTTGAGGGCTTGTGCCCAGGTTTATTAATTACACTGCTGCAATTCCGACAAAAAGGTGAAAAATTCATGTGTTACCCAGGATGGGAAGAACTAGACAGAGGTGGTGGGGAGCTCTGCCCTGTGAGGACTCTGTGAAATGAGGCATGCCATGAAATCCTAATTTTCAGACTGATTTGAGCCAGATTGATCTGCCTTCAGCTGCTCTGTGTGGTGAAGTCAGTACTGTTGGTCAAAATTTAGCCATTTTCAGAAGCAAATTCTTCCACATCTCCTACCTAGGAATCTCTAGGGAGCAGGAGTCTCTGTAAAACATGGCAATTTCACAGGGGAATGAGCTCTCTGAGACACCAGGCGCTGCACAACTCCCACCTGAAATTCCCCATTCCCTTGGAGGCTCAGAGCTGTGAATATTCTGTGCTTCCTGGAGCTGAGGAATGAGTTTCATTTCACCCCTGCTGTGCCCCAGGGCAATCAGCAAAAACCAATAAATGCTGACTCTTGGATGCTGCCACCTCCTAAGAGCTCCCCAGCCATCAGAAGGGTTTCCTCACCACTCTCTCCGCCACTCCAGCTCTGCAAACCCCTCCAAATTCAATATACTGCTATCTTCAGATGATGGTATTTCTCTGAAAGTCTAACGAGCTTTCTCTGAGGACTCATCCAAAACACTCTTCTTCAGGCCTGAAAAAATTGTGCCAAGCATCCTTTCTATTCCTTCTGACACCTGAACAGATAATTTTCCTCACCAAAAGTCCCTGGGATTAGCTGTGAAACAGACCTGCAGGAACTGGGCTCTTCACCAATGACCTCAGAGCATCCCATGCTGCCCTGGGGGCTAGAAATCACCTTATTTAAAAATAAAATACAGGCACCAAGCCCCAGCAGAGGGTTATCAGGTTCAACCACTGAAGGTGTTGCTGCTCTTCTACCTTTGTGGGTCCATCTCCAGTGAGAACAACACAAGTGAACCACATAGGGTGGAGCCACACACTGATCAGAATTAAATTAATTCTGAAAGGTCTCATTAGCAAATAAATTAGGCTGTGGAGGCCTTTGTGCCACCACAGGATATTTCAGGTTTGTTTGGGGTTTTTTTTTTTGAGCATATGCTCATATATTATTCAGGCATAAGAGAATTAAAAGACCTCTGAGACCCCACATTTGTTGGCTGTGAGGTTTCAGCTGTTCCAGAGTTTTCTGATTTGGACAAGGAAGCCTGACAGGGCTTAAGCAACGTCAACAACCATCCTCACTGGCTAAAATAACAGTTTTCAACACCATCCATGAGATCACATCTTTAAGCCAAGCCACTGTGGAGTTTTCACATTGCACAGTGAGAACTATTAAGCTTCTGTGTCCTTGTAACAACATGGTCCTCATTTAATCTCCAAAAGCTGCAGCGCTGTGCCTCTGAAAAAACCCAGCCCCGCTTGCAGAGCGGAGGCATTAGGCTCTTCACACAAAGCTCATCAGCAACTTAATTTTTGTTGCCAGACTTGGTGATTCCCACTTGCATGGCAGCTGCTCACTGAATGTCAGCAGCCTGCTCTGTTAATCCAAATTATTTTGGATTTCTCAGAGAGGCTGCATTACCATATCCTGATGCATAACTGAGTTAATTTCTTTAAGTTGCAGCGAGCTGCACAGCCCTCTGTTGCCTAGAAGCCCCGTAAGTAAGGCACTCCTCCTGAAAGTTTATTCTTCTGCTGGATCTCTTTCTTTGAAGTCTTGCCTTTTGTTAAACTTAAACTCCATTAACACATCTGGAGAACTGCTGACTATAAGAGATCATTTCATATTTCCTGACATTTAGTTCATAAATTAAGACAGAAGACCAGACCCACAGCTGGTGTGAATCACTGCAGCACTAATAATGTCAGTGGAGCTCTGCTGACTTGCACCAGCTGAGATTCTGGCCCCAGATCTGGAGGAAAGTGGTTACATGACCAGATATTTCTTTCCAGAGCTGAGTAAGAGCTGTGAGCAGCAGAAGACACGCAAGGCTCTCCTTACCCAACAGCCCAGGAACCCAGAGCCGCTCAGGGCCACGGCTCTGCAGAAGCTGCACCAAAAAAACCCCTTTATTTTCAGGAAAGGTGAGGTGTCCTTGCACTTTGCTCTGCCTCTAGAGCCAGCCCAGCACACTCTGGTTGTGACTCTACCCAAGTTTTGCCCAGTCTGGAAAGAGAAAAACCCTCGCAAACCAACGTGGATGGAAAGGTTTCCCAGGAAACTTGAGTAATCCAGGATTGTGCCCCTGAACAGATGCATCACTTCCCTCATTTTTTAGTACTTAAAATAATTGGTTCCAACCATGAGCTGGCATTTTAGCAAGAGAGGGGATCTCAGCTCTCAGCATCCAAATTTCTCAGTCTGTACATCCTTCCCCTGCCTGCTTCACCTGGATCTGAATCTTAATGAAGGCTTAATGCCATGAGTAGATAATAAATAACAGGGGATAAAATCTGATACACACTTTATTCAGAATCATAAAAATGTGTGGCAGCAGCAGCTCGTGGACAGAGAACTCTGAGAGCATGAACACAGGAACTTCAAATTTCTGAGGCCCAAATGATGCAATGAGAACACTCCATGCAGACAGAGCTCTTTAAAATGGAATATTAAAAATGTGGGTAGGCTAAAAGGGAGCTACATGTGATTAAAAATATGATATGATATTTTACAGTCACTCAGAGATATGCTAGAGTGACTGTAATGTAAGGTAAATTATAGAGGCATTTTTCTTTTTACTTCAATGTAGAATGGGAAAAGAAAAATAAAATGTTTTACGTTTTGGCAGTAGTATCAGTTTACAGATATGGTTTTTGCTGGCATTTACCCCTAGAATTTATATGAAAGCAGGCTCATATACTTCTAAATAATACTGCAAAATGTAAATCCCATCAAGTCTTGAAAAACTTGCTGGGTACATTCAACTTCATCACTTGAAATTAGAGTTGAGGGACTTTTCCCTAAGTTAGTGAAGAAACTGAGAAATTTTTTTGGTGTTGATTTCAGCCATCTGAGGAGAGCAGTGGTATCAGAGATCATCAGAGCCCAATCCATACTTGGATACCAAGACAAATTCATAGAAACTAGAGAAAAATACGCAGGAAACAGCTGAATGGAACAATTCCTGAGTCATTCCTGCATTTCCCTGAGCTCAGCGTGTCGAGCAAGTCTAGTCTCCTTCGAGGTCACCAGACAGACAATGACAACAACAACAACAACAACAACAATAAAAACAAACATCTTGTCCAATTTCACAGTTAATGAAGAGTATTTTCAATGCTTCTTAATAAGCTCCCACTTCTGGCTGGAGGCCAATCTGCAACTGCATCCATCACTGCTGGGAAAGCTTGGAATTCCCTCCAAAAAACACAACTTAATGTGAAACTCCAAA